ACAGAACAAGATGGATCGCAGATGTCAAAAGGAAGTGAGGAAAACACCACTTTGTTTGGTTCGACAACTAAAAGAATAAACCAGAGAAGAGTTGTTAAATCATGAGCAGGAGCGATCAACTAGGGGAGAACTCTACATGCCAGGAAAGGTGAACTTGGAGAGGACGTTACATGTCCAAATATAAATAGAAAAGATGTTCAATACAAATAGTAATTTAAGACAAATGCTTAAAGAAAACAGAATTGGAGTTAATATTTTGTGTTGGAAACTATGCAAATTAACATTATATGAAGTGGATGTGCATCAAGAATGATAGCAAGGATTTGATTAAAGGAATTTTTCCAAGAGTAAAGATTAAAAAGAATGAGTTAGGGGAATTCTCCGACGGAGACAGGCACAGAGCTCACCGTCATGGTCAAACACCATCTGCAAATAAGTTTAAAGCAACGTAAGTGGTCAGAAGGCTAAGAGGAAAACAAATAAAAGAAGTAAAGAAAACACATTGTAGTTTCTGTAATGATGTATCACAGCTCAGCATTTACAGCTTAGTTTGGAAAGTGCCAAATGATCATTAAAGGCAAAATGTTGAAATAATAAGTATATTACAAATGTGCAGGTTATCTACAGTTGGCCCCTAAATTTTTTATTCCATTGAGGATTAGACTAAGTATGTTAGACTAAACATGCGCACTTAAATTGATAAGCAGTTACCAATGAACAAAGCTCATGCATATAGATAACCAAAATGTAGTTTTTCAGTGAAAATGCAAAAATAAATAAGCACTGCCAGTAGAATGCATGCAAGAACAAAATGGCATACCGCAACATGAGACGGAAGGAACTCCAACATGTCAAGAAGCTGCAGAGAAAACTCGACAGATTACAAATCACAATAAAGGATCATAAACTTTATTAGTTAGGCAACTATTACAAAGGAAACAGTTCTACAATGTCAATATAAAGTTTGGTACATGAAAAGGCATGGAGGCAAAAGGTTAATCCATCATTAATGATTGAACAGCGAGAGTATTTTATATTTTCTTCAAAGCCACAGTAAACAACATATTGACACATTCTCTATGGACCCAGAAGGGACTAATACCAACCGAGGATAAACTTTTGTGGTTAATAAACATCACAACTCTGAAATAGGCAGATATGTACAGAATATTGTCTTTTCCCAAAACTCATCCCTATAAGATCCGCCTTAATAGTCAAAGATGCCTACTGGAAAAAATTTGATAAGAAAAACATCCTATTATCTGTCACTATAGTTCATTAACTAAACGTCATATGAAGACAAGCATGGTGGAACAAATATTGCACTGACCATCCAGTACAATGTGCCATTGACCAAAAACATATCTTAAACTCCAAAAAGTTTCTCAACTTCCCTCATCTTCCATATTTTTCAGTTCTCCCTGGTTCCTACTTGTTGGATTAGTAGTGCCCAGTGGATGGTGAGAAAATTGTTTATAAAGAGAGAAAAATACAATCATGGACCGTATTCACTACATGAATAAAAATACAAATGAAGAAACAGAATTGTCCTAGCAGATTGTGTTTCACACAAACTCTACATGACGCAACCCATAACTGCAACACCCATTATATACAAATTTGAGTTTATTAACATTGAGGATGTCATTTCAAAGCTACAACTAAGTCCTACTCACCAGTGACAGAGCTTTGAATATAGTTAAAACCCAATCCCCATTGCCATCAGCATGTTCCAACTGACCATGTTGCAGCTGTGCTACATCCATGGAAAAAGAATAGATGAGATGTAGATTACAACACTGAAAACGAGCAATAGGAAAGAGTAAATTTCTCAAACAGGTTTAATGTATGACAAACTTAAATATTTAAGAACAAATTTTACAGATTGATCGGACTACTCAGTAGTTTTGTATACAATTGGTCTCTAAATCTGTACTACGGACATTGGTTAGGAGTTTCTGTCCAAGCATAGCACACAGTTCAACCAGATAGACGGATTAGAAGGTTGCGCATTACAGGATAAACAATACAGCAGCTGGACAGCTAAACCATCAGTCTCTGAAAACAATGCACATAGGGTGGGTAATGAAATTGAAAAACTGTCTCATGTCATGTTGTTATGGACTCGAGATTGCATGTGTGGAAGCATGTAATATTTCATTATTTCTTTTGCCAGTGTCTAGGATAACGACAGAATTCTGCTATACTTCAATTATCATATTAAAGTAGACCTAAGTCCAACAATTCCATGTCTAAGTTGAGTTCCAACATTTGCTTTACCAGAACAAGTGCTGACTTAAATACATGTTCCAAGACAACTTACCAAGCATATGAAATGAAATGTCTTGAGGATCACAAAGAGGTGACTGTCAAGACATTCCGTTTCTAGACATAAACTTACCGTAACAACTAGAAAAAAGGCAAAGCAAACAGACAAGATGTACCAATAATGAGTGCACGAGGAAAACACTGACCTAATATCTTGTAGTAGGATCTGTACATCACTGAGGTTCCATCAACAAGCATGATTCTACTCTTTGAAGGATCAGCGGGAGCAACATTCTCGCCAGGATTCGTTAATATGGTCGACACGCCTGAGGGCAAGCTGTCGTCATACAACGGAATCCGTGGGGCATGATCCACTGACGGTCCTTGAAAACTCTCGACTGAATCAGTGACTGGCAAGACTGACTGCCCCGAGAAACCCTAATGTGTCGAAGAAAATAAGAGCAGTAATTAATCGGTATTTCGCATTAGAAAACATTAAGGTTATGAACCAGATGAACCACTATCATTTTGAGTCGAAAAAGGGTTGAGCGATCCAACTTGCAACGCAACTACGCGAAGGTGCTCGGCTGAACAAGACGAAACTTTATACAGAGGCAATGCGGTGCAGGTAGCAATGAAATGGTCGCCGAAGCTTCGCCGATTTTACTAGGGCTAGTTAATGTGGCATCCCCTACTTTTTCGCTCTACGGGCCTTCTCTGGCCCCAATCTGTCGAACCGTGAGAGGAGGAGGGCGTCGGGTAGCAGAGAAGGGGGCGCAGAACACGTACCTTACGGGAGACGGCGAGCGGCAACTGGAGGGGCCGCGCGGCGGCGCGGAAGAGGAGGCGCGGCACCGCGGCGGCGCGGAAGCAGCAGCACGCCATCGACGGACCGGATGCCCGCAGCGCTCCAGTCGCGGGCGGCGGGGGAGGTCAGTGCCAGCCGGCGGGCCGTGGGCAAGGAGTTTGGAGGCGGTTCCCTTTGGGGCTGATTCAGCAGCACAACCACGGAAGTTGGGAGACGAGCAAATGGCGTGGCGGCCGCCAAGACCGTGGGAATAGGCTTGGTTGCGTTGCTCCTGAAATTTCTGGATAAAAGAGCGAGGAAATATTTTCTTTCACAAATCCATTGTTGTCCAGCCCGGTTAGGATATCTGGCTTTCACCCAGGCGACCCGGGTTCAAATCCCGGCAATGGAAACTTTTTTTGCCTGTAAATTTTTTGCTCTCGGGCTCCATAGAGCATGAATTTTTCAAAAAACAACTTTTTAAGTTTTTAAAAAAACTAACATAAATGCAGAAGTGTTTAGAGATGCATACCAGATGGAGGGCCCTACTAGATGTGTGTGAAATTTCACGAACGAAATACATTTTGATGTGAGCTGTACAAAAAGAGAAAATCATGTACACTTTCATAGTGAAAAGTACATGTGCTAGCATAAAAAGGTATTCGCC